TTATGTTTATTATAATATTTATCGTTTAAAACAATTAAAACAATAATAAAAATGACCCAATAAAGTAACAAAATATTTTAGTAGCTAGTCTTGTAAATATTTATAACACAATTTGTTTTAGCAACATCATTTTATTTAATGCCATCTAATATTTTTTTGAACTATAGTCGGCCATTTTAAATTTTACATTGCGAATTTTTAAAATTAAAATCTCATACCCAGGCAACACAGGGTCGTAGAAATCACGTAGAATCGTCGACGAATTGGGTCGAATTTGGTCGAAGTTACATTTCAACTATTTTTCGACCTCTCAAAATTCACCAAAACACGACCAATTATTAACTTAGGTCGATGATAACCAATAAATGACGTCATTATCACGTGAACAGATGACGAAATTTTTAAGAAAATATGAAAATATAGTGATAATTAATAAGAAACAGTTGGCCCGTTTTAATGGGCCGACAAAAAGTTTTGGAATATTTTTAAAAACAAAAATTATTATTTTTATTTAATTTACCTTATTTCGACGGAGAATCAACGTGGTTTTAAAGTAATTAAGATAGATTAATAATTATTGATCCATTAATGGATTTTTTAAAACAAATTCGCGATTTTTAAATCCTTTATCATTTCATCACAAAATAAGAAATTAACATGTTACTGCAGTTGACAGTCACAATTTTAATTTTAGTAAAATTATTTATCTACAGTGTTGCCAGATGTTTTATAATTTTCTTTTTTAAAATAGTAAAATTTAAATAATAATCGATAATTGTAACATAATTTAATCCGCCGCGTAGTTTTGCTTGTTTTTATACAATTTTTGTTTTAATAATTTTATATAATTTTCTGTAAATTTGATCATTTTGTCAACCCTCTTCGATAATATTAATTTTTACACCTGGCAACCCTGTTTCTCTTTGACACTACTTACAAAGCGAGGGAACGTTTATTCCCAAAAAACAATATGGTTGATTCAAGCGTCCAACTTTTATAATCTGTGGCATTTATACATAGAACAAACCATTTATACTGATAATACTTTGGCTGTGTCAGGTAGGTCAATTTTTGTTTGTTTATTAATGTTTTAATTACTCAGTATATTCCGTAACGAAGTCATAACACCTAAATGAAGTACCTACACTCAGAGAAATATCAAGTTATGAAAAGCATATGAAATTATATTAATTAAAATAATCGGGTAAATTTGATTCAAATAGAAAAAATTTTAGTTTTACATTCATTTACCAACAGTTTTAGAATGTTTTGAAACACTTTAAAATATATATACAAAAAGAAATCCATTTATTTCATTGCCTTTCTCAAAGTTGTTTCAAAAAGATATGTATTATACAATTGTTATGCACCTATTAATTTAATGGGAAACACCAATGACGCCAAAACATATTTGAATCCCTTTGAATTATTAGGGATTCAAATATGTTTTGGCGTCATTGGTGTTTCTCATTAAATTAAAAGGTGTATAACAATTGTATAATTCATATATTTTTAAAATAACGTTGAGAAAGGCAATGAAATAAATAGATTTCTTTTTGTATATATATTTTAAAAAGAGTACACTTTAAAAGTGTTTAAAAACATTGTAAAACTGTTGGTAAATGAATATAAAACTACATTTTTTTCTATTTGAATCAAATTTACCCGATTATTTAAATTAATATCATTTCATATGCTTTTCATGACATGATATTTCTCTGAGTGTACATAAGCTCCTAAAATATTGACCTGTCATCCACAGAACATCTGTCTTAAAATTTAATGTGTTTGATTTTATAATAAATGTTTTGAGCAACTTAAAACATGTTTTATTAATTATTAAACCAAAAGCCCTTTATGCACTAGTAAAAATAATTATTTATTCTTATATCCGATATTTTAATGCCAAAAATATGTGTTTCTGCAAAGATTAAGCTAACAATTTTTTTTTGATATTCTACTTTTTTACATACATTTATTTTGATTATTAATTATTTACTAAATATATATCTACTATAGTAGTATATATATAGTAGGGTTTACCTATTTATTTCTTAAAATTCAAAAGTACAATTAAAAATTTTTTATTTTTTTAATTTTGACAAATCACATTTCGCATTGAAATATCTGATATCAGTATCGGTAATTATTTTTATCAGTGTATGACCTAATCATATATTATTCAAGAAATAGTACGTGATTATTTACGTCAAATTACGTAAATAATTACGTAATATTACGTGATTTTACACGTGAAATCGCTGTGACATATTGTCGTCAATTTTACGACGATAAGACGTTTCTAAGTTGGTGACTTCGACGTCACCGTAGACGTAAATTAAACGTGATATTCACGTCACTGTGTTGCCTGGGTAATCGTAAAAAACTAAAGTATAGTGAGTTTCAATCAAACGACTTTTGGACAGCTTTTTCGAGATCGGGACCACTGTGCGACGCTCAGATTTTAACCGCTAAAAAGGAATTTTTTTTCAAGCGGCCATGGTATACAACCTTATATGCATGTATAGAGATAGTTGAAGTGCGTCTTTTTCATTAGCGGCAGATAAAAAACTCAAAAAAGACTAGGGATAGAAGTAAATCCATAGGTGACTCAATAGACGTCAAATAATAAAATTAATTTAGCATTTCATACAAAGCAATCACGATGTATTAATTATATTAATTATAATCGCACGGAATATTTAGTGATTATTTATTAAATTTTAATTGAACGAAATAAAGAACAACTAGTTTATTAGTATAATATTATGATGATAGACGAGTCGCCAATGTCGGAACTCCAAACAAATGTCAGTACGTCAAAATTAATTCAAGCGCAGCATTTTGACAGAGCAGTGTTTATTTTTAGTTTAGGATATTTATCGGCATTGTAAGTAAGGGTTATAAGTTTTTTTAGTTTTTATCAATAATTTCTAATGCTTTTGCCAAAATTTTATACCACATGAGTTAAGAGTAAATAAAATAATTCCATTGCTTATCCTATTTATATTACGCCCTTGAAAAAAAAATTGTATATGTTATTTGGAGTAGAAGCTCTTTTTGTGCTTCGTACAGTTGCCTGCCTCAGCTACGCTTCGGCCGTCAATCTCTGTACTCACCACAAAAAGAGTCGCTTCTACTCCTTATGACATAATCTACTATTTTTAAAATCTCATAAAATTAAGTTTTAATCCCGGCGTATCCGCCATTTTTGAAAGTAGGTATTTAACAGGTGAACGGATTTGGCGTATACGCGTAAAGGTTTAAAATACCTAAAAGGTCTTGGGAAAGATTTAACTTTTTTTGTAACTTCTTTGCGGGATAAACCAAAGCTTGGCGTTACGAAAAATGAAACGAAAACGGCGCGCGCAAAAGCCCAAAATCTTAAAGATACTTGTGAAATTAAAAACTGTCCAAATTCGAACTAAATTTAATAATTAAAAACTGTTTTTACATTTAATTAAACGGGTAATTTAAAAACTGCACATTAAAATTAATGTTTTGGTTAATTAAAAGCTGCCTACATTTAAACCAAATTATATAATTGAAAACTGTTCTTATATTTAATTTATTTAAAACCCAGTATTTAATAACTGCAAATTAAAATTAATTCAAACACAATTAAATAACACTGTAGGGAGGTGAAAATATCACAGCTAAACGCTTGGACACGTAAACTTAATTTTTGGTCGTAGATTACAAATCCGTGCTTGGTTTAGCTGTATCAGGTCAAAATTCAAGGATATTGAAAACAGCTTGTATAAATTTAAACACCCTATATAAATTTAAAAAAAAATAATCCACACATAAGTTCCAAATTAAAAAAAAAAACAAATTATTGCAAAATTTGAAGTTAATTGATGAAAAGGAACAGGGGTCCCTGGGAGTTTTTTTATAGATAATTTAGGATAGGTATTTAAAATGTTTTTTTTGCTATTTTTTTATTGAGTATAATTGAGGATATTATGTTTATTGAAATAAAAAGCATAGGAATGTTGGCACAAGAGGTGAACTATATTATTTTACAAATTATAATATACCAGTATACAGTGTGTGAAAAACTTTTTTTAGACCTGATACAGCTAAACCGAGCGTTTAGCTGTGATATTTCAAGAGTTGAAAATTTACCTACAGTGTAATTAAAAACTACCCTTATATTTAATTTATAGATATATCGGTTTTTTAAATTCTTTAAAAAAAATAATATGTATATATTTTTAAAGAATTTATAAAACCGATATACCTATAAATTAAGGGTAGTTTTTAATTACACTGTAGGTAAATTTTCAACTCTTCAAATATCACAGCTTAATCACAATTTAATGTTTTGTTCAATTCATGTATACATGAATTGAACCTAACATTAAATTGTCTAAAAGAAGTTTCACTTCAGCCGTGTGGTTTACATAGACACACATGTGTTTTTTACTTTCTTAGACTTTTGTTATTTTTTCTTAAAACAAGGCGAGCGTTACATCTAGTAACTTTATGAAGTGTCCAGGAAATAAAAATATACTTTTAAGGCAAAAAGTTGACGTTCTTCCTTAGAAGTCAAGGTGTGTTTTAGAACGCACGCTGAATTCATGGTTCGTTTTCATAGCGCTCAACAATCATAATGTTTTAGCGTTTAACATAATTACACCGTTTAGAAGTAAGCACAATTATAAGAAACATACAAAAATTACTATGAGTTTTATTTTTACAAGATTTAAATATTTCTAGAGTGGGCCTCCACAAAATATTGGAAAAAAAGTAACATTTGATTTTTCATCAAAAAGATATAGCGTCTTAAAAATAAGTGAAAATAAGGGAAAAACGATACATTTTAAAATTCTCTTTAATATGTTTCTCAGATTTAATTTTTCCTGCAAATCGTGCAAAAAAAATCTTTATGTTTAAGTGCTAAATTTTGGGCTTTCTATTCAAAACTAGTATTAAATTATTATGGCTCTAATATTTACTTAAGTTTTTCAAAAACAATGTATCTTTGGTGTACTTACTTGGCAACAAGTTGTTAGCACACTAATCTACACGTGGTTCTACGCTCTTCCCCATCGTTACTGTCGAAATGTTTGCCAACAAACTGGAACCGTGAGTGTCAAAAACACAAAACACGAGGACAGAACGTCAGCGAAACCGTGACTCAACTAATTTATACACAAATGCTGCTATTGCTGCTGCTGCTGCTACAACGTGCAACGACTTGCGTCTTTCAGTCGACTGATCACAAAATCCGTTCGTTGCAGGACGAACGAAACTTCCTGCAGTTTGTTGCCGCGGCGCACTATGACGTCCGTAGACGCGGTTGATTTTTAGGTAGGTTTTTAAAACAAAACATAGTACAATAGTATATTAAAGAACTAATGTCATAAGACGTCTTTATGTCGCACGCGGACAATTTGTAATGGACGAGTGCGACAAAAGGTCTTATGACATGAGTTCTTTATGCTATTTTATCTATTTTGCAAAAATTCTATAAAAAAATTTAATTTTATACCTTTAATTTAATTTGGTCGAATTTTACTTTAGATAGTTGGTATCACAGTCATTGGTTTGACAGTTGTAGCGGAACACAGTAAGGTGTCCGATTATCTCAGGGTGTAAGGAGGGTGTCGCTGGATGAAGGAATTAAACAAAACACACTGGGTCCTTGCAACTCCACTTTTAATAACCCAACAGATGATTTTCTACAATTAGTCTTAGCGAACGAACTCAATCTAAGCAAGGTAAAATAATAATCAATTATCGAGCATTATGTCTTAATAACTTACCTAAGCAAGATCAAGACACTGCGGTTGCAATAATTAAACAATTCACACATTTAAACGCAACACAGCGGCTTATCAGGATCTTTGCGGCGATCGAATGATTATTAATTAAGATGGCTGGTGAAAAGGCCACAAAAAATTTTATTCATATAAATTACGCGCTAAATTGTTTGAATATGCGGCTGCGCGGCGTAATATAGGTTGCCTAATAGTGGACGGAAATGCGCTCCGCTTTACAGTTAATGTCAAAAACGATTCGCCATGCCGTCCTTAATTTACTTATTTACAATAAGCGGCTGTTAATGTTAAAGAAGAAAAAAAGGATTTTCTTTGGTGTTAAAGAAAATTTATTGCCAAAAAAGTATCGTAAGTACTAGAAAAATCATAAAAATATTATAACCAATATAGCCAACCTATAAAAACAAAATTTTTGGTGGGATAAAGTATCTCATTACAGCACCGAAAGCGGTGTTATAATGAAGTCATTATGAACGAAAAAAAGATAAATAGTATATTATGTATCAAGATTTATAAACGCCATTTTAGTTACGAGTTTTATTAGGCACAAGCGAAGCTTGCGAGCGAGTGTTTAATAAAAACGAGTGTCTAGAGAAGTTTATAAAACAAGTTGCATACTATATATATATATATAGATATGCAATCCTACATTACCAAGCCCGAAACGTTACATTCTACAGTATAAACGAAGCCCACTCGGTTTTTACGAAGCCCGAAATCGGGCTTCCTAAAATTAGCGTGTATAAATTTGTTTTAGAGTTAAGTGATGCCCCCTTGTTTCAATGGCGAAAAAGTGGTGGGCTTCCTAATGCCATTCAAACCTATCAAAATATACACCCTTAGTTCCAATGCTTTGGCGGTAGGGGGCACACGAGTCAAAGGAGATTATATACAGCTTTGTATAAGTATTACGCAGTATACGAAGCCCGTACATCTGGCAACAATGTGGACTATACGCTCGATGACTTTTTGATAGAAAGGCGGGGAAAATAATGCGGGATTCTTAAATTTGTATCTACTGATTTTCAAAATAAATGTTATATTCCCAAAATTATGTTTTGTTCACTACATGGCGTGGATTAAAAGGCAATGTTTTGTTAAATACTTTCGTAATACACTTAATTTTAAAGAATTATTTATTTTTGAAATATTATTTGGAGTGCATTTTTCTTTGGGGCGGTTTTACAAGTTGACCAGATATTTTACATAGTTTTAATTGGGGAAACAAGGGGATTTGTATATATTATTATTATTATTATTATTATTATTATTATTATTCAATGTAACATTTAAATAATTTAAATAAAAATAATTTTTAATTTATTTGAAACATTTCCAATTTTAATAAAAATAATTTTTAATTTATTTATTAAAAATTTCCAATAGCGGTATGAAATAAATTAAAAATTATTTTTATTAAATATCATTTTAATGTAACATTGAATTGCAAAAACTGCTTTTTGACAGATAGCTTCTCATGGCAATTTGTCAATTAACATTTATACAATTTATTTATACATGGCAAACAACGACCAAACGACCAAACAACAATAAGAAATTGGGTTCTTTATTTGGATAGTGCTTATCTAAAAGGAACCAAAAACTTGTTCGGAGCTTAACAAACTTTTTTGTATATACCTAACTCATTTTTAATGCTGCTCAAAAACTTAATTATAATTTGAGAGTCCTCTCAATAATTTAAAAGAAGTTCTAAATAATGATAAACTTTTTGAGCATTATTAAAAATGAGTTATTTTACAAAAAATTTTGTTAAGTCCAAAAATAGTTTTTGGCGCTTGGTTCCTTTTAGATAAGGATTGTCCATTTATACTTACCATTACAATATTATTTTATCAACCGTTTTGGTTAACGTAATATTTTATCTACGATTTTTATTGGATAAAAGGCAGCTTTAGCTTTATCCCAGGCAACACAGTGACGTGAATATCACGTTTAATTTACGTCTACGGTGACGTCGAAGTCACCAACTTAGACACGTCTTATCGTCGTAAAATTGACGACAATATGTCACAGCGATTTCACGTGTAAAATCACGTAATATTACGTAATTATTTACGTAATTTGACGTAAATAATCACGTAATATTTCTTGAATAATATATGATTAGGTCATACACTGATAAAAATAATTACAGATACTGATATCAGATATTTCAATGCGAAATGTGATTTTGTCAAAATTTAAAAAACAAAAAAATTTTAGTTGTACTTTTAAATTTTAAGAAATAAATAGGTAAACCCTACTATAGTATATATATATATATATATATATATATATATATATATATATATATATATATATATATATATATATATATAGTATATATATACTACTATAGTAGATATATATTTAGTAAATAATTAATAATCAAAATAAATGTATGTAAAAAAGTAGAATATTAAAAAAAATTTGTTAGTTAATCTTTGCAGAAACACATTGGCATTAAAATATCGGATATAAGAATAAATAATTATTTTTACTAGTGCATAAAGGGCTTTTGGTTTAATAATTAATAAAACATGTTTTAAGTTGCTCAAAACATTTATTATAAAATCAAACACATTAAATTTTAAGACAGATGACAGGTCAATATTTTAGGAGCTTATGTAGGTAGGTACTTCATTTAGGTGTTATGACTTCGTTACGGAATATACTGAGTAATTAAAACATTAATAAACAAACAAAAATGGACCTACCTGACACAGCCAAAGTATTATCAGTATAAATGGTTTGTTCCATTCTATGGTTTGTTCTATGTATAAATGCCACAGATTATAAAAGTTGGACGCTTGAATCAGCCATATTGTTTTTTAGGAATAAACGTTCCCTCGCTTTGTAAGTAGTGTCAAAGAGAAACAGGGTTGCCAGGTGTAAAAATTAATATTATCGAAGAGGGTTGACAAAATGATCAAATTTACAGAAAATTATATAAAATTATCAAAACAAAAATTGTATAAAAACAAGCAAAACTACGCGGCGGATTAAATTATGTTACAATTATCGATTATTATTTAAATTTTACTATTTTAAAAAAGAAAATTATAAAACATCTGGCAACACTGTAGATAAATAATTTTACTAAAATTAAAATTGTGATTGTCAACTGCAGTAACATGTTAATTTCTTATTTTGTGATGAAATGATAAAGGATTTAAAAATCGCGAATTTGTTTTAAAAAATCCATTGATCCAATAATTATTAATCTCTCTTAATTAGTTTAAAACCAAATAATGTGTAAAATTATTTTAATAAAATATTGCACGTTGATTCTCCGTCGAAATAACGTAAATTAAATAAAAATAATAATTTTTGTTTTTAAAAATATTCCAAAACTTTTTGTCGGCCCATTAAAACGGGCCAACTGTTTCTTATTAATTATCACTATATTTTCATATTTTCTTAAAAATTTCGTCATCTGTTCACGTGATAATGACGTCATTTATTGGATATCATCGACCTAAGTTAATAATTGGTCGTGTTTTGGTGAATTTTGAGACGTCGAAAAATGGTTGAAATGTAACTTCGACCAAATTCGACCCAATTCGTCGACGATTCTACGTGATTTCTACGACCCTGTGTTGCCTGGGATAATGTAGCTATAAAACAATATTTGGTTGGTAATACATTTTTCTTGTTTATAGGATGCTAAACTAAATAGCAATTTTCCCCACATTTTTCAACTTTTAATTTGGTTTAGTTTTCCTAAATTTTCCCAACATTTATTAAAATGGATATAGCCGGTTTTCCACGGATGCTCCTCAACTATGGTCTAGGTCTTTTAAATCAAATTTGCCTAAATTTAGACAATATTTTTAAATAATGACTTATAATTCATTCAATAAAATAATAGTTTTTATTAAAATAATTATAAATCACACTATTTTTAAATACACTGCCCTACAAAATTATTGCATAATAAATAAAAAAAATTAACTCTAAAACGCCTTTACTAATCTTTATGAAATTTTGGATAAAAATACTTCAACTTATATCTCAATTTACGTGTTCAAGGGTTTTTCGAGAAAATATGTTTACAGCCTTTTTATTTAATAATGAAAAAAAGTTCGAAATATAACTTTTAGGGAATTTTTTTAAATAAATAAAAAATATGCTGTTAAAGAGCGTATTTTTTTTAGTATACCCTGAAAATTTTGTACAAATCAAGCGAACAGTAACGAAGATACAGCGCTTCAAAGTCGTGAAAAATGACCACTTTTCAGCAAAATAATCAAAAAGGTGTAATTTTTACCGACTTTGAAGCGCTGTATCTTCGTTAATGTTCGTTTGATTTGTACAAAATTTTTAGGGTGTACTAAAAAAATACGCTCTTTAACAGCATATTTTTTATTTATTTAAAAAAAATCCCTATAAGTTATATTTCGAACTTTTTTTCATTATTAAATAAAAAGGCTGTAAACATATTTTCTCGAAAAACCCTCTAACACGAAAATTGAGATATAAGTTGAAGTA